GTTATTCAGCTTGTCAAGAAGTTTCCTGTTGTTATGGAAACACCTGTTACATCGCTATCTGCACAGACGTTGCTGAACCCAGTTTCGAGCCAGTTCAATCCGATTAGCACCTTCACAGTATAATTAATTACGTGCGATTAATTTTAATGCTCTTTCCACCTATGTCTAATCTCCCAAATCGTCTATACTATTCAGAGATTTAAAAGATAATATCGAAGGCATAAATTATTTCACATACGTGTTACATTTCCAGCCCATCGCATCTTTTCTTATTTAACCGCTGATAAATTTAGGCGAAGAGTAGAATTTTCAAGCAACGCGTATTTGTAATTTTCCCCAGTCTTCTTTTGCCTTTCTGTTTATCCAACTAATGAATTTTATATTCTGCGCATTTTAGTGGAGGCGTGTGCTATAAATTCATTAAAATAAATTAAACCGACTTCATAGCCATCCAATATCTTCATTGTTAGGGAAGGATACAAGGACGTAAGTCTAACATAGCACAAGTCCAGCCAGAATAAATTTCTGAAGGTATCAGTTCCTTGTTTCAGATAAATTACAACGTAAAAGGGGACACTAATATTTTGTTGACGTTTTTATAAACAAATTCAGAAACGGAATTAATAGAATTTGAGTACAAACACTATAAAAGAGTGAACTATATTAAACCTGTGCTATCAGCCTGTATCTACCAACTTTAATAGGCCTATATAAGTGTAAAGTTATGTTGATCAAATACTTAAGTTTTCTGTCGTGGAAACGTATGGGGGTGTGGGAGTATAAGTCCGCGCGTTAGCCACGGAACGATGCGGAGGTCAACTTTATTACTGTGTTTATATCCAATGTGGAAAGAGGAATGCAGAAATAGGCGGATCACCTTTTAAAATAGCCTGTTTTATGAGGATAAAAAGATCCGAGTCAAAAAGCACGCCTACAGTTGATGTCTAAGTCATCGTGTCAACCTTCTTAAGCCCAGTAGTAACTGTAGGCTTGTGTACCACCTGCTTTAACTCCCAGTAACTATATTTGCCCACAAAATTAATTTTTGTGTTTAGTCTTACTTTTCATAAAAGCAGCTGTAATGTCCTTAAACAGCATTTCTCAATCAGCTGTCTTCTGGGTTGCAGCGCCGTGTAATATGGTAGAAGATTACTAACGTTTCAAAGATCCTTGCTGCTTCCATCATCAGAGCGACTCCTCAGTTCTACGATTTTATCAGAAATTGCGCTTTAACCTGGCTGTTGTGAGACCGATATAACGCGCATCAATAGCCACTTTTGCTATTTCGCGCAGGTCGGACATTCTACGTCTCTTTTTTATAGTTAGCACAAGTTTCTTGTTCGCTTCTGCAAAACCTTTCACTTGGGCCCTTGACTTCTTTTTGTTACACTAAGCTGTGAAAGCCACGACAGAAAGCGGTAACGAAGATCGACTGACAGCGATAATTTTGAATGTAACCACGCGACAACCCTAGTTACCGCGCAGATAATAGACACCCACCTTCTTACTTGAATATTAGTATAATCAACTGGGCACTACACTTTACAACAAACACTAGCAGATTGCCCGCAGTATTACTGCGGAGAAGTTAGACAAATATTTACATTTTATGTCTCTTTATTTCCCGAAAGCTTATCGCAGGCCTGATTATTAGATACGTGTCGTTCAATATCATAGGAAAAAGTAAATATTTCTAAACTCAATATTTTCTCCAGGATTCGAACTCAATATGGATCTAAGGTTTATAATCTTTGTTACTATAATCTCCCCGCCGAAAGAAATAATTTTGTTCTTGGTTCCGTTATTCTGTAGCGCTTAGATACCCAGTTATAGACCAACGTTACAGGGTCTCGAACTCAACATCGATTTGTGGGGTCATGTTATTTGTCTCGTAATCTCCTCATTGAAACAAATAACTATTGTGTTCGCGCCATTATTTTATCGTGTTTGTATATAAGATGATATGTAGGCCTAATGTGTGTTATGTTTTACCACCTCTTCGTAGACGTTTAGATGGTAGACCCAAATAGTACCCTGTAACGTGAAAGAAATGGCTTGAGAATTCAAAAATATTAAATGATTATACAATAAAACAATTATAATTTTTTCAAACACAGCCCACACGGACTTGTATTCAGAAAATATCGTCTCAAGTAGTCTATTATTTTATAGGCCACGACCCTGAATAAACTAACGGGCCTATACGGTGTACAGCGTGAGTAAATTTTTGCAACCTGTGAACAGTATGCTCGGAAATACACATGATTTTGTACCTAACACGCTCTGTATATCAAAATATACGTGAAAATAAATTAACTTTGGATTTCGATCTGTTTGTGGCTTCTCAGCAGCTAAGCTGTGTAAACAAAAGAAGGCATTTGATTTCCAATTTAAATTTAACATGGAAAGGAATATTAGTTTAATTCGTGATTGTGCATAAGACGATTGGGCCCTGCAGCTTGTATTGTTCGAAGTGTCATGGCAGACGTGCAGCAGCACCAAGTGCGTCGCGTTGTGACGAGACCAAGCTGGAGCACCCAGCAACAGCCTCAGGCCAACGGATCCCCAGCGGTTAGCGCTGTACGAAGGGACTCCACATCGACACCCGTGCGCCAACCATTGCGACCAGTCGAAACTTGTGACCTCACCTGCAAGGTAAGGCTCCGAGGCATATCGGGACTGGTTTGTGGCTTGTTTAATGGTGTTCTGTCGGTTAATTCCGCTGTTTGTTTAAGCCCGCCATTGAACATTATCTTGCGCCAGTTGAGCCAAATTCACATTCACGCCATATTCGTCTAAGATCTGTATTGGTGTAATCCAGTCACCTAGATCTTCATCTCCATAGAGGTCTCACCGACAGAGATTTTCGGTTAAAATGTATTAATTTCTCATCTGCCCATTTGTGCTACGTTTCCCCGACTTGTACTCCCCCTCGATTAAATCATTTAATGACACTAGATTCAGCGTGAGCCATAGTGTAAATCAACTCAGTATTAACTACGGATTGAATGCGACTGGAGTATGGTTGTGATTAATGAACTGGATTGATTTATTCTTACGTTATTAGCGAAGTCTTCCTGCTGGGTAAGTTATATGATGACGAATGAGATGGGAGGTTCATAAGTGATGAATAGGCAAGGACTTTGAAAGTCTTTAGTTAATGTCCTTTGGATTACAATGAATTTATAGGTCATTCTTAAAAATTAAACAGAAACATTATCATCGGTAGACTTACAAGTAAATGAAGATATAATTTTTGTAGTGTATCTGACGTTCCTATATCGAAGTAACATTATCCTACATAAAAGGACAATGTTTACGAAATTAACGCTGCATTTCTTGAAATGTCGTAGTGACGTTATTAAATCTGTATAGACAGTGCAATGTATTGCTTATTTCCGGACCTAATACTTTAAGGCAGGTTTATATTTAATATATGCCATAACTGTTGACGTATGTTTAAATTACTGTGTCTCATTGACAACAGCGTTTACTTTTGTTTGAATTGAAACTCTTGAAATCGCCTTCACGGAAATATTAGACTCATTATTTTAGATTTACGTGTGTGATAAATATCAGGGAATTAAAAGAATTTCCGTAAAATTGATATGGATTTCGCATGAGAAAAGCCAGGAATGGGTTTTTTTAGTGAATGGGTTAATGAGTGAATGTATACAGGAAGAACCAACGGCTCTGATTAGCTGGTCGTTTCGATGTCTTTTTATAATGTGTATTTGCTTGTATACAACATTCGACCCTGTGCCTGCCTGCTTGCTTTTCCTTATATTACATTTAGAACGATCAGTAGCAAGTAACTTCTGACGTCAGTCGGTGTGTACCAAGCAAATTGCTAGACATTACTGTTAACACAGGTGATGCTTCTGGGAGATTCCGGCGTGGGAAAGACGTGTTTACTGGTCAGATTCCGGGACGGCCTCTTCCTTTCCGGCAACTTCATCTCCACAGTGGGCATCGACTTCCGGGTGAGGGCACTGCGAAGTCTGCAGCGGCCATCACAACCTCTTTCTCCTCCTCCAGTAACAATAACTGATTATCAGTTTCACCGTCACATAATTATTTTGCTATCTACTTTTCAATCCGTTACATCTACTGGTGTGACATTCATGTTATCATATTTGTTTTTGCTTGCTCTAAATCGTTATTTCACATTTCGAAAAAAAATCCTACAAACATGTGGAAAAATGAAGTTGCTTCAAATATTATTTCGAAATGCGCCTAAATATTAGAGCACGTTTTAAGTCGTGGTTTGAAGACATCAGTGCGTTGTGGTGTAGATTATCATTGTCTGCCTTCATTTTCTTACAATACTAACCACTCCTCGTTTCTTACTCACGCTAGCTGACAATAAAGTTAAAATATGAAGAAAACTCTTTATAATTCTGCTAAAATAGAGGCTTCGATTACACCATCGCATACGTATGAGTACTGCACTTTAATTTCATGGCCCTTAAAAACGTTATCAAGAGCTTTTACTGTAATATGCAATAAAATATATGCTTAGATATACTAAGCCAGGTTTTAGTCTAAAAATAGACTTATATATCACATGACGACTTTACCTTCTAGCTGATAGCGGATGAAAATTTGTGCTCTGTCACCATTACTTGTGTCATTTACGCTCTGATTTCCAATTGACAGCAGTTACGTATTTCGGCTGGGGTCATATTTGTGTCCCAGAAGTGCTCGAAATGGAAAATAAAATTGTATGCATGAAATATGTATGTGAACGTTTGACACAGAATTATTTTGCTGTTTTTAACAAAATATGCATTAGATACGTATCCAGTATATATATATCGGAAAGTGACATACGGATATGACTGCAGCCTAGTTACCTGTAGACCCTGTACTATTATTTTTGTCAAATCAGATGTGTGATTTTCCGCCTTATGAAATTGGTAGATGTTAATTGCAATTAGCAAATAATTTGGTTGACACAGTGTACGATTATATTGCTTGTAAACGTGTCTACTTTTCAGAACAAAGTGGTGACAGTGGACCAATCAAAAGTGAAACTTCAGATCTGGGACACAGCAGGCCAAGAGCGCTTTAGAAGTGTTACACACGCTTACTACAGAGATGCACACGGTAAGAGGAAAGAGAGATTTCTGCTCCTGTAACTTCTGAACTCCCAAGTTACGTTTCATGTTAAATGGAACACCACCAAAATTGTTTTCCTATGATATATTTTTATGTTGTTTTAGCGAAAAACTGCGTGTTGTTCTTCCACGTCACCTCTTCCCATGAGATTTTTCAACAAATATTTGTGCGTGCGTGCGTGTATATATATATATAGGTCCCTGCTGCCTCCATCATCAGGGCGATGAGTCAGTCATCTTCGGACTCACCGCCGAGAAAACCTCAAACCTATACAGAAATAGGCTTGTCGCTAATAACAGCTCACCGGGCACAGTCAAAGAATGAAGAAAGTTCCAGTTGCTGCCCAAATTCGAAATACTCTACTGCCTCTTCTGGAGTCCGTGTATTTCAGATAAATTTAAATCAGTGTTACAATTTTCGTAAATTACTAATCGATGGTGCAAAAATGATTTATTTAGAAGGCATAATTACCAAGATACACATGTGTGTCAAGGTTAGCATTACCGCTTCGAATTCGGGAGGTCATGGCGAAGCAGATATTTTCACTGACGTTTTGTGTTACTTCCTTCAGTCCCTTCAGTTAAATGCCGAGTTAGGCATCAACCGCTTCCTTCCGTATCCTTTACAGTCATTATTCATCAGCGATCCTAATACTCGATGCCATACATTCTGTGTTTCTGACAGCGTCGTCCATAAGTAGAAAACGCACGCACGCGCACTCGTGCAAAAGTCTAAGGTGTGGTTAATATATAAATGATGTTTAATGTTTTCCTTTCTAGCCTTACTGTTGTTATATGACGTGACGAACAAGACGAGTTTTGACAATATCCGAGCATGGCTTGGTGAGATCCGAGAATACGCACAGGACGATGTGGTTATTATGCTATTAGGTAAGTAAATTTAAAGCCATATCTCTCACTAAACAGGTAGCTGGCTTATCATAACCTATCGCAATTCTGTTCTGGAAGATCCACACAATTCCTTTTTAATCTACAAATCCACGTTGAATTTTTTTGTTGTTATTGAAATCCCACAAATAAAATTATAGCTATGGTTTGTTAACGGGAGAGCCAACTATCCACAACAAAATTTCCCTGGGACGTCAACTAACAAGGTGATGACTTTCTTACTTTAAAAGATGAAAATTATAAATGTTTTGTATTGTAGTATGTTTTCATAAATTTTGAGTGATGTTGCATCATATCTAACAAAGACCAGCGATTCAGACTTGAACAGAAGGGTGTCTGGCTTCTAAGCGCCCCTGCCACTGCCTAGGTATTAAAGTTCCTGTATAAATCCAATCAGTGTTATTGTACAGGAAACAAAGCAGACTGTGGGTCTGAAAGGGTGGTGCGTAAGGAGGACGGGGAACGACTTGCAAGAGAGTATAATGTTGCCTTCATGGAAACATCAGCGAAGACAGGACTCAATGTTGAACTTACATTCATGGCTGTTGCCAGGTAATTACAGTATCACTATATTAGAAATGATAGAGTTTCAAATTTCACGAGTGAATTTAATATGGCATAACCTAATTACATTTTAAAATTAAGAATTTCATCCAGTTATGATGAACAATGGAGTAGTTTCTAGGAACAACTACATAGGTTCAAAATGAGTAATTTTTAGTTTATGGTGCCATCTTATGCGTTACCCTAAATGAACAAGGAGACAGTATAATTCCAGCTAAAATTGAATTAGTCTAGAAGAAAATAAGTGTTGAAATACGTGTGTTCTTCCGCCTGCACTGCTGTATTTTTCAAACAAAATCAACTTTTGTCCATTTATTTTTGTCTTATTCCTGTGAAATTAAACAACATACCTGTAACTGTATTTCAACATTCTAACATATGAAAATGCATTGATACAAATTAAAAATATTTCGAAACTTTCGATGGTTCCAATGTTGAAAGGTTTTACATAATTTTATAGAGAGTTTAATTTTTGGCTTTTGTAATTGTTCTCAGAAAGTCCTCAATTGTAAAGACTGTTCTTTGTTGTGAATGTTACTTTTGTAAACTTCTTTCTTCGTGACTTTGTAGGGTGAAGTGGGAATCTCTCAGGTTTAAACTCTCCAAGGGGGAAATCTTGTTTTTTTTTTGTGTTGTTTTTTGGTGAGGGGTCTCTCCCACATACAGGTTTATAAGAATGAAATTTCATTTGAAGTCTAATTTTAAGAATAAGAAATGCTGAAAAAATGGCTGAAGGACTCGTTGAAACAAACAAAGTTCGAAGATGACAAATATCAGATTACAAAAGTATCATTATCCTCCTTGATCCTGGATATAACATTTACTATAATAGGATATTTCAAGTAACAGTTCTGTTTTGGTTCTGTGTTGCTATATATTGATGCCATTTCTTTTTTACAGGGAGTTAAAATCCAGAAAAAGTGGAAATTCAGATGAATCAAAATTCAATGTTCAGGATTACGTGAGAGAACAGTCACAACGTGGCTCTTGTCCGCCCTGTAATACATGAACGTCGGGAGATGGAAATGTTGGTAATATATTCTCTGAGAATTAACATTTGCTTTGAAGAGTGCAGTTTGTAGCCATCTGGTGTACAAATCATGTAAACAGACGCTGATTACTGTTTTAGAGAATACAGAGTCTCAAATATATATATTTCCATGCTTCATAAACAAATGATGGATTGATTTTAAAATATGTCTATAAATTTTGCAGCGGCGAGTGATCTGAAACCTGGAGTATTAAAGAGATTTAAAGAAAGGATTCTGATTTAAAAAAACTGCATGGTCTTATTTGGCCGGATGACATTTTGTTGGTAAAATTCTATTTTTGGAAAGACATTTTATTAGTTAATTATACATTTATAATCATAAGCTATTTATTCACACATATCATAAGCAAATTTTACAATACATAATACTAAGTTGTAGGATATTCCTTGCCTATTTTATATTTTTTGTTAAACATTTAACTTAACGGATGATATTCACTGAGAATCACTTAAGAATCGACCAAAAAATCTTACCCTCATCATACTGGTAATTAATAGCACAGAAGTGATTTACGTAATTTGGCCCATAACCATGGGCATTCAGTACTTAGCTATAAGTCATTTGGAAAAAAAAAAAAAGTATTTTGCAGGGTAAGAGACCAAACAACATTTCCATACACATTAAAACTATTTTATCAGTCAGTATATTTAAACACAAATAATCTGTCTTTGCAGTTTTCAGGTGTGTAAATATTATATTTAAATTTGTGGACAGAAAAAAACATTTTGATAATTATTTTTAATAATGCAGGAAATTTCATTTCTGGATGATGATATTGTGTCATTTTGATACTAGTTAATGTACATACTTCACCATAGGAAGACAATGCTGAAGTTGGCAAAAATTATAAACACTGGACAAGAAGATTTCTGTCATCTGGGTTGTTGCGCTGTGTGAATCACCCTGATGACGGATGCAGGATGACCTCTGAAACGTTTGTAAACATCGACCAGACTACACAGCGCAACAACCCAGAAGACAGAAATCTTCATACTCACCGCTGTGAAAACATCAAATCTTACACTGGACAAGAATTTTCTTATCTTACAACTACTATGTTCGGTATTGCGAGTACTTCTAATTAATACACTTAATTATTATGGTCTAGGACTCAAACACTGCAATGGATATTGTTGACCCAAAGGTAAAGTTGTGAATATCCAAAAATGCAATTTTTAGGAGAGGCAAAAATATTTGTTGTCAAATAAACAATTGTTCAATTTTTGCTTAACCAGCAGTAGAATGTACTTACCTCCTAATAAACTTTTAATAGAGTCATTAAAAATATTAACCTTTTCAATAGAACATGAATGAATGCATCCCTTGCAGCATTTCATACCAAAATATAATTCTTAATGCTGATTTATATCAGCTGGTCAAATAGCATCAGCTTCAATTTAAATAGTTCAACAAGGGGTTAAATTGTGTAAAAACTGGGAACACTCAGAAGTAAATTTTGCAAAAATGTGTATCCTCGTATGGATTATATCTCTCAGATCTTATCATTTTACAATAAAAAGAGTGGAGGTTACCAACTCAGGGTAAGACATCTCACAGAAGAGCTGTGTTATGCTGCATGCCTCTCCAGCATCGTATACACATACCTATGTCAATAAAATCTTTTCGGGAAATCAGCCACATTAACTGGTTACCGTAGTAAACAAGTTAACGCTGCTGATTGCCTGAGAAGATTTTATCGATTGTACTCGCCGCGAAAGTCTCAAATCCTATGACATACCTATGTATTAGGCTGATGTTGCACACAATGAGTTAATGAACATGACCCATCAGTGGCAGAAAAACCATCGAATTGTTTTGGAGAAGACTAGCTGTCCTGCGGAAATTCTGTTATAAAATGGGTAGTAAGTAACTTTATGGAGCAGTTCAGATATACATTGAGATTGAAAGGAATGTGTATCAAAAGCAGAAGCGTAAGTGTCTTCCTCATAAAGATTACAGTGTCATTCAAATTTGATATAGCCTTGCATTGTCAGACCAGTTAATTTCACCCATTGTTCCTCTTACAAGTGTAGCAAAATTAAAAGGGCCCTGCCCCTTCTAATGTAACAAAAATAGGAATATCTAAAATGCAAAAGCCCAGAAATTAAAAATTGGTCGATAACATCATACTTGGTGCTTTAATGAAGTTAACAAAGGGTTAAATATTCTTTAAGCACTATATTTTATGTGAGGTTCTCACATTTTAATATGAAAGTTGAGATTTCATTGCAATGAGAGTTCAGATTATGTAATTCTGGACTGTGATGGCATGTCTTCTAGGTGCTTACCAACATTTCAGAGAAACATCTTCAGATGAAGACAATCCTGAAAACCACCACATGATATATTTTAATAAATGAGGCAAGGAAGGAGATAATGAATTTGACTACAATTTATAGCATTAAGCAGAAATGGTTTTAAATGGCTCACATCTGTATTAAAACTAAAGATTTACTTCGTACAGCAATATGTAACAACTATAATTTGAAGTTATGGTACAGTATTTAAGTTACCATCAGTTCTTAGAATCTTAAAAATTTGAATACCCTGCAGTGTACTGATATACTAAATCATGCATTCAAACAAAAGTGTTTACACTTGAAAAGTTATGCTTTATAACAAACCTTTGTCTTATGAATTGTATGATTTAATATAAGTTTATTTGTTTGCCACTGATGATGACCTCTTGAGGTCAAAATGCATTTGGCACTAAGTGCCTTTTCAAGTGTAAACAGTTTTGTTTGAATGCATGATTTTATACAGTTCTTAGAATACAACACTGATAAGAGATATTTTTGTTCAAATGCAGGTCCACTTAAAATTAATAAAACAGTAAATTTAGTGATTTATTTATAAAATAAGACACATGCATTTTTATACCAACTCAGTGGACTAAAAGTGCTAAAGATAATATTATTTATCCTGGGAATCAACATAATCTTTTAATACCCTTTGTGGCCAAGTTTTGAATTACATGTATAAAGAAAGTGATTTACGTGGTTATTAAGCCACAAAAAGTTAATGTAAACAATTTAAATGCATTATCTAAACTGAAATGATAATTGTTTTACTTTTTCTCAGTTTATTGTTCATATAACAATGAATGACAAAAATACACTAATAATTTTGTGTTGTTATTCAATGCAGACATTGAAGGTCAAAGATGAGCTAAACAGTCATCAGGCAAGTCAGGGATCCAAAAATTCCCAGTCTTTGGTAATCACTTTTTGGTTTAAATGTCTGGAAGTAATCTGTATATTTCACTTTTTATTCTTCTTTTACTATTTATTGAAAGTTTACAACTTGCTAGTACTTCAGAGCCACAAAACAAATCTTTCTTCAGCCTTAGTGACAACAATTATGAGTACCGATGTTGGGAAACACTGCATTGTGTTGTTGACATAATGCATAACAGATGTAAAACAATGAGAACTCAAATAATGATTCTCAAAAAATTTAAATGATTGATTCATTACACTACAACCATCTTGGGGGTTGTCCATTGCCCAAGTTATATTTGGCACATTATGCATGATGTTTTGGGAGCTGGTTCTACTATTACCTTCACGTGATTGGTTATCATTACACTGGCAAGAACTGTATCTGTGTGTGTAGAATTATGTATAGGGACCTACACTGCAGGCAGTGGACAATGCCCAGCATATCTGTGTTGTAATACAAATAGTCTCACAAAGGTATGTAATACAGACAGATGTCTTGTGTGTATGTAAATCATTAACATAAATGTTATAAAATGTGAAATTAAAAAAAAATTGTTGCTGTGTTATATGTTGTTAAAAGCATATAGAGTGGTTGTACAAAGTGTTTTAAGAATTTGTACATAAAAACTATAACATATATAAATAAATTTTGATCAAGACAGTTGAAGAAAATGTTTTAGTTGTTTATTTGAAGACAAACATCATTTTCAAGATGTTCTGGATTTGCTGACATTTACACTGTAGCAGCTTCGAGGCTGTTTGAACAAGCCTTCAAGATATTAGGTAGTAGTAATGATGACAGTCAATTATAAAGGAAATAATAGAATAACTTGGAGAAATATGGGTTGTTGCCATTGTTATCAGGAATTCAAACAGAGGCCAGGTGATAGCACAGTGAACATCTGGATTTTAGAAAACCTAATTCCTGAAAATGTGGAAGTTTGTCTGTCTTGATCTGAGTCTTTAAATAGATATTCAGAAGTATTTTTCAGAAAAGATAAAAATACAATCTTAGCAATTCCCATGACTGATGTTTTCTGACACTAAGATACAAGTGTTGTGTGTGAACAGATTTAACAAAATCAGGATGAAGTGTTCATGTTAACCATGATAGCCTGGCTAACAGCTTCAAAAACAAACAAAAAGTATTCTATCTTACTTTCTTGATTTGGTGGTACCCCATACACTGAAACACAACAGAAACAATCAGATAAAATGCATCATTAGCTAGGTGTTGGTAGCCAGCTAGATGAGGCATACAGTCTTGGTGTGACATCATTCTAGCTTATTTCCTGTAATTGTAATTATTGGTTTTATCACTAGTAACTGATCATCATGACCAATAATCAAATTATCACCACTTTAATAGAATAATGGTAAGTCCTATAATTGTCTATAGAAACAGTATCACTGGCAGTGCTAAAGCAATTTTGAATTCTTGTTGGGGATATATGCAGTTGACATCAGATAAAATTATGTCTGTGGAATTTAGACATTGTATACTCTAAATCTGGATAAGGTATATAACTCCCCATAGATAAATTCTGCTTTGGTTTCATAATGACAGTTTACATGAAGTTGATTCAAAACGTATCTACCATCTTCATAATATTATCTTATTTAAATCTACGACTTGTTCAGAATATCTGGTGGGTGCAGTGAAAGTAAAGTGTATGTTAGTGAATTTACATTTCATTCATTCCATGTCTTGTTCTTTACAATGATGCACATGTGTGTTTTACATTTTAGGCGGTTTTTGACAAATATGCCCACTCCTCATCTTGCTAGATTTTGCTTTTGATTAGCTACTTCTGGGGTATAATTAAGATTAACATGTGGCTTCTGGTAAATCCATGTAGTGCTCTGTAAAAAACAGAATATGGAGTGATTGTGCATTATTAACATTATGTCTGTAGTACAGATTTATTTTATTTAAAAACAATTCTCTACAATTTGTTGATGCATTATTTGCACCACAATACAGCAACATGATATGATATGATGACAGTGATATAATATTCCAGAGGAGACTGCAGAACTCATTTGCTAATTAGTCTATAGGTCTCCCTACCAGTCTCTGTTCATTTCGTGATCCATCCTAGAATTAGGAAGAGCTATACCAACCCCCATCTACCATAATGGCAATAAAGCATCTGCATGTCTCCCCTACTATTTACCACTATGGTGGTGACTGTAATCTGTGCTCAATGGAGTTTTTCTACGTTTTTCCCCATCACGACTCGTCGTTTATATGCTCGCAAATTGCTTCTCTCGGGTTATGTGGTTGCATGAGTATCATTAGGAAGGCCATGCCGTTTTTCGACCATGAGGAAGGCTACGTAAATGAGAAGGAAGCGTGAAGAATGGGTTCTGTAACACCGGTAAAAGAATTTTTCAAAGTTCGTGTAAGGTTCACGATAAATTCGCAAGCAAATGAGCATTCATTTTATAATTACGGTATATAACATTAATGTGTATTATGTGAACTTGTGTTCGTGTGTGTTGCTTTGCTATCAGTTTTATGAACATAACCAAAAAAATTGACGTTATTGTAGGAAGTCGCCTTTCGAAACACTTAGCAAAGGTAGTATGTTTCTGAAGATGAGAGTATGACAACCGAAATAACCAAGAAAGTGACTCTGGATTCTTTACCTAATGAGATCCTATTAACAATTTTTAAATTCCTGGATAGTGTAGACGTGTGTTTGGCAGTAGCAAATGTGTGTGAACGGTGGAATTACATTACTCGTGATGTAACTTTGTGGAAGAATTTGAGTTTCATTTGCAACAAAAATATGAACATGAAGTACATTTCATCTGTTCTTTCGGAAATGCCTCTGATAAAGTGTGTAAAGCTTCAGTGGCGAACTGATGTAGATTTAATATTCCAGGAACTTTGCTGCAATTGCAAAGATATTCGTAAACTGGAATTGGTGTGTTGCGGACAGATGAAGAAAACTTGCATGCAACTTTTGGCTGACCATTTTCCAGATCTTGAAGTTTTGAGTCTGGAGAAATGTTGGGCCGTTGAACCGACCTGTTTTAACTTTGTTTGCAAATTTCCTTGCCTGAGGAGTCTAAATGTGTCACATTGTAGAAAAATGGATGGACCATTGCTTAGGGAGATTGTTGATATTTGTCTTTTCCTACAGCACATCAATGTAGATTATGTTAGAGGGCTTTATGATGAGGATGTCATATACTTATTGGAAGCAAAGAAGAGCAGTCTGTTGTCATTGGTATTATATGGTGAATGCCTTACTGATATGACATATTGCTACATGGAAAAGTGTAGTGTGTTACATACATTACATTTATCATCATGCCTTCAAATGACAGATAAAGGGTTAATGAGCCTCATAAAATTAAATTCACTGAAATCATTTAAACTGAGACTGGCAAAACACCTGAGTACAAAAGCATTGAAGAATTTCTTGTTAAGTGACAAGGCATCCAAACTAGAGTATCTAATTTTATCTCGGTTGCCTGGTATGAATGACATTGCGGCTCATAATATTTCCACAAATTGTATTCACGTGAGATATCTAGAGATTGTGTATTGTCCAAATGTCACAGATCGGAGTCGAGAATATGTTGCTTCTGGTTGTAAGCAGTTGAAGGTTCTGCATTTCAGACAAAATGGCCCTCCTTGTGGACTCGGTAACAACAGTTGAAGATATGTTTTTATTTTACAAAGGGATGAAATATTCTCTTTTTTGGCATTCAGTAATGTCATCTACATCCCTTGTAATTGGCATCTACTTACTGAAGTAGAGCAGTATAGGCATTAAGACTACAGGAAGTTGTTAAAATATCACTGACCATACCAGTGGTCTTGGGCCAGAGAGCCTTGTATTTCAAGAATGTGTCTGTTTATTCCTAAATATCAATAATCTTTAGTTATACATCAGTGGGTTTCATTGTACATCCTTGCACAACATATTTCATTTATATTATTAAACAACTGCATGACACTGAAATATAATTTTATTCATTGTACAGTGTTGATGATATTGAAATAGAAGCAATATTATATTGCTATCTTTATATGTTAGTAGAGACAGTAGCAATATAGAGAGAGGTGTTTATTGTGATATCAGTTTCTTGCAGAAGTATTTATGTCGTGTTTATTATTGATGAATGCCAATAGCTAATGTATGTCATCCCATTTTCCACATTCACAATATTGTGTTTGCCATGCCTTTGTGTATTCTTAGTTTAGTTAGTTGGCTAATGATTGGGCATGGAAATTGATATTCAATGTACCATGGTACATTAGTTACTTGTTTCTGGTTTTTCTTGTTTGTATTGGGCTGGTAAAGTTTGTTTTATGCCATATGTGTACCACAGAACTTTTCAGGGTGTTTAAAAGTGTGACAGAAATGTAAGGGTAATTTCTACACCCAAACTAGAATATTTATTTGAACAGAGGCCAGGAAAAGCATCTGGTATGAATGTCAGGCAGTCACCCACACCAAAACAAAGAAAAAGTTGTAGGATTTGAAGTTTTCATGGCGATGAGTCTGAAGAAGGCTGTCTTCTAGGTTGTTGTGCCATGTAATCTGGTAGAAGTTTACCAACGTTTCAGAGGTCCTTGCTGCCTTCATCATGCCAACAGCACGTAGTTAAGTTATGGACATTCTGTTGTGGGACACACTGTATAATATTCTTTGACATGTTTAAAATTGATGAACTGATTGAAGAACATGGATACCAGTTTTATAGCTACCACCATAACATTACCTTTTTAATCCCACTAAACTAGTCTGGTCGCAGGCTAAAATATATTACAAGAGTAACACTGGTTGAAATGAATTTGAAATGGAAGGCATGAAAAAGATGTGGCAGGAATCATTGGAGCCAGTTTATTTTCTTTATTCAATGATTGCCACACAAAGATGTGCACTGCCAAGTGAAATTCCTTCTATTACTTATCTTGTGGAATTTTGTTATAGAATGTAGACACTGTGATACAAATGTTGTTTCTCAACCTTTAGGTGACAACCAACAATGTGGGTAAATTATGTACAGCGTACAGAGAAGCTGATGAAGGAGAGCTGGGAAATGGAAACTTCTATAGAAAATAGGGAACTTGTACATCCTCTTATTATCAGACTTGAACAGACATGAAGAATAACATGGTTCTAATGACTGGCCAGTCTTGCTAGAATAAATACTGTAAGTATTAACCAGTAACTAAAGCTTGTTTAATTGGAAAGAATGCCATCAAGTAATGGAGACAGCTGGTGGCCAGTGAAATTCTTTCCATGAGACAGCTTATATAATAATTTCATAACAAACATGACACTATTATATCTTTGCAACAATTATTTTGCATGAAATTAGGAGAGGTGCCTGTGTTACTTTAATATAGTATTCTACAAAATTCATAATTTGTTACTTTTGTTTACTTGAGATTGTGGTAGCAGAAAAAAAAATTAATTTCTGATATTCATGGTTTCAGAATTGCTGTTTGGTTCCTCCTACCTGCCTCTTGTTTTATGTTTCATAACAGCTTTTATATTTCAGTATTTAAATGTATTTTGTACTCTGTAGCCTCAATTTCTTCTATGCAGTGGAACACTATATTTATGGAATCATTGTTGTTGAGAGAAAGATTTTGAAAAAGAAATGCATGACATCACCACTACATACTTTGCTCGTATTAAAGGGTGCCTCGTTTGGATATCAGTCAAGATACAAACTATGATGATTTGGGTTATTCATTGTTTCCCCAAGTCCCTCAGGCATATGCTGGGATTAGTACGTAGAATGAAGACCATGACTGCTTCCTCCTTCTGAATCCCTAGCAACTTGTCTTCATTTCTAAACCTTTTTCTGTGGTCGCCATTGGATTATACCATTATTTAAGAAAACAAATCATGTATAATGTATAACAAAAAAACAACAGTTTTATGAGTTGAAGTGTTTGAATAGTTTTTAATTTCAGTTGAAAGTAAAGTGATATATATTAATATAAATACTGTAAATTTTTGTTGACCGATTAGTATAGTATTGCCTTTAAAGAAAAATAATAAGGTAATTCATAATAAAAGAAACATATTAATTATGAAACTTAGTTTTTTACGAAACTTAGTTTTTTACGAAACTCGTGCTTCCCCTGGGCCAGCTGATGAGAGGAGAGCCCCAGTGAATTTTCCACTGGCTTATGAATGCGGGAAGTACGTTAAAATAGTACCTAGTAATATTTTAATGATAACGTAATGAACTATATCACTATAAATGCACTAGGCCATCCACCTTCGAGGGGCAGGTAGACACTTTTTGCTGGTGAGTGTGTTTGAC